GGAGAAGACCTGGAAGATCATCCAGCCCAACCTTAACCCAACTCTACCAACCCTTAACCCAGTTCTACCACCCATAACTCAACTCTACCAACCCTTAACCCAACTCTACCAACCCTTAACCCAACTCTACCAACCATAACCCAGCTCTAGCAACCATTAACCCAAACCTATCAACCATAACCCAACTTTACCAACCATTAACCCAAGCCTACCAAGCATAACCCAACTCTACCAACCCTTAACCCAACTCTACCAACCATAACCCAGCTCTAGCAACCATTAACCCAAACCTATCAACCATAACCCAACTTTACCAACCATTAACCCAAGCCTACCAAGCATAACCCAACTCTACCAACCCTTAACCCAACTCTACCAACCCTTAGCCCAACTCTACCAACCCTTAACCCAACTCTACCAGGTTTCCCTCACAGACACCCTGAAGAAGTGCCACCAAGACGTCCCCACCACGTCCTTAGTTCCATCCTTGTGCCTCCTCAACCCTGAATCACTCGCAGACCCCAAGACCCACGTGCCCATGGGTTGGTCTTTGCACATCAAGAACTTCTGCAAAGCTTGGGTGAAACCCTTCCTTTTGGAGACACAAATTTGGTCCCCCTGGATCTCCCAGTTCCCTTTGCTGCTCAGAAGAAACATCCTGTTTGACCTATTCCATCTTTTGGGTGTCTCCTTCCAACAGAGGCCAAAAAACCAAGGGAACACCAGGTTGGAAGGGACCTCAAGGATCATTTGGTCCAACCAATCTAACACCCATCTGGTTGACCCATGTTTTTTTTTCTTTCTCCTTCAACCCAAGAGCAGCTCCAGCTGGATGTTCTACCTGGTACTTCCACCCCGTAGACTGCGACGTCCGTCTGGTTGAGGATGTGACTCAAGGTCCCCTCCACCTCCGTGGTGGAGACGTTCTCCCCTCGCCACCGGAACGTGTCCCCGCTGCGATCTCTGAAGTACATGTAGCCCAGGTCATCCATCACCAGCACGTCACCTAGGGGAGGAGACACCAAAACCCACCTCAGGGCTTCAGCTGGGGACTGCTCAGGATTGTCTCACCTGGCTTGGGTTGGAGGGACCTTCAAGATCATCTAGATTCAACCCCCACCATGGGCAGGGACACCTCCCAGCAGCCCAGGTTGCTCCAAGCCCCATCCCACCTGCCCTTGGACACTTGCAGGGATGGAGCAGACACAGCTTCCCTGGCCCAGGCTCTCCCCACCCTCCCAGACAAGAATTTCCTCCTCAGGTCCAACCTCCAGCTCCCTCTGCCAGTTTCAAGCCACCCCCCTGGTCCCATCACTCCTGCCCTTGGCCCAAGTCCCTCCCCAGCTTTCCTGGAGCCCCTTCAGGCACTGGGAGGTGCTCCAAGGTCTCCCTGGAGCCTTCTCCTCTCCAGGCTCAACACCCCAACTCTCCCCAGATGTTCCAGCCTTGGAAACCTTGTCTCCAGAGGCTCTCCAGCCTTGGATCATCTCTGTGGCCTTCTCTGGACTCCCTCCAGTACCTCCATGTCCTTCCTGTGCTGGGGACTCCAGAACTGGCCCCAGTTCTCCAGGAGGTTTCACCAGAGCAGAGGGGACAATCCCCTCATTGACCTGCTGTCCACACTGCTGGTGACACAGCCCAGGACACAGTTGGCTCTGATGGGTCATGGTGACCTGCTCATCACCCACCACCCCCAAGGTGTTCTCCTCAGGGCTCTAATTTAACAGAAATTTTCCTTTTTGATTCAATCCAGAGCAGCTCAACATCTGGCAACGTCCTGATGGCCAACCCACTGCTCCTACACTCCTTGGGGTTGGAGAAGACCTTTAAGATCATCAGGTCCAACCATTCAACCCAACTCAACAACTCAACCATGTCCCTCAGCACCATCTCCAGAGCTTTAGACAGCTGCAGGGATGGAGAGTCCAAGACTATTATGGTTGGAAAAGACCTTGGAGATCATCAGCTCCGACCATCCAACCCAACTCAACCAAGTCCACCACTAAACCACGTCCCTCAGCACCATCCCCAGAGTTTTCAGATGACCTCAAAAACCCCAGAGTTGGGTCTTTTGGAGATCCCTCCCCCTTGGTGGACCTTCACGTGAGGAACATCCCCTGGTGGAGGTACCTGAGAGGTAGGCCTGGTCCCCTTTCTGGAGGACGTTGCAGGCCACCTTCTTGCTGGTGGCGCTCTCGCTGACGTAGCCGTCGAAGCGGCGCAGCGGGTCCTGCTGGTTGATCTGCCCCACCAGCAACCCTGGCTCTCCTGTGGGCAACAGGACCAAGAGAAGGTGACATCGACCAGCCAGAGCTCGTGCACAGAGTGGTGGGGTAGGAAAGGAGCTCTGGAGATCAGCTAGATCACCAAGGTCAACCAGAGCGGGTGGTGCAAGATGGTGGCCAAGTGGGTTCTGGATGGCTCCAGAGATGGAGCCTCCACCACCACTCCCATGGAGAAGACCTTGGAGATCATCAGGTCCTACCATATAGGGACTCCCAAGGGCTCATTTGGGTTGGAGAAGATCTTGGAGATCATCAGGTCCTACCATATAGGGACTCCCATGGGCTCATTTGGGTTGGAGAAGACCTTGGAGATCAAGTCCAACCATCAAACCCAACGTGACCAACCCAGCCACGTCCCTCAGCACCATCTCCAGGGCTTTGGACACCTCCAGGGATGGGGACTCCTGGACTCATGTTGAGGAGAAGGGGCTGCCCTGGCTGTCCCCAGGCTGACCTGGGCGGCAGGGGACGCAGAGCCCGCGGGAATCCCGGATCAGCTCCATCGTGTCCTCGTTGACCTTCACCAGCCGGATGGGATACACGTTGGGCAGGATCCGGCTGTTGAACCCGCAGGCCCCAACCTGCCCGAGCAACCAACAGGGAGGATTTGGCCAAGGGCTTTGGACACGTTGCCTGCACCTCTGCCTGCACCTCCTCCACCACCTCTTCCTCCTCCACCTCTTCTTCTTCTTCCTCCTCCTCTACCTGCTCTTTCTCCTCTTGCTCCACCAGCTTTTCTTCTTCCTCCTCCTCCTCCACTACAATCTCCTCCATCTCCCCCACCACCCCCACCTCTTGCTCCACTTCCACCACTTCTTCCTCCATCTCCACCACCACCCCCACCTCCTTCACCACCAATCACCACCTCCTCCTCTTCCCTCTCCTTCTCCACCTCTTTCTCCTCCTCCTCCTCTTCCACCTCCAGCTCCTCCTCCTTCTCTTCCACCCCCTCCTTCTCCTCCTCCACTTCCACCTCCTCCTTCTCTTCCACAACCTCTTCCACCTCCTCATTCTCCTCCACCACCTCCTCCACTCCCACCTTCTCATCCTCCACCTGCTCCTTCTCCACCTCCTCTTCCACTACCTCATCCTCTTTCTCCACCATCATCCCCACCTCCTTCACCACCAACCTCCTCTTCCACCACCTCTTTCTCCTCCTTCTCCTCCACCTCCTCCTCCTTTTCCCCCTCCTCTTCCTCCTTTTCCCTCTCCTCCTCTTCCTCCACCTCTCCTCTTCCTCCACCTCCTCCTCTTCCTTCACCTCTTCCATCTCCTCCTCCTCTTTCTCCACCTCCACCTCCTCTTCTTCCACCTCCTCCTTCTCCTCTACCTCCACCTCCTCCTCCTCTTCCACCTCTCCTCTTCCTCCACCTCCTCCTCTTCCTTCACCTCTTCCATCTCCTCCTCCTCTTTCTCCACCTCCACCTCCTCTTCTTCCACCTCCTCCTTCTCCTCTACCTCCACCTCCTCCTCCTCTTCCACCTCTCCTCTTCCTCCACCTCCTCCTCTTTCTCCACCTCCACCTCCTTCACTCCCACCTCCTTCTCCTCTTCCACCTCCTCCTCCTCTTCCACCTCCTCCTCCTCTCCACCTCCTCCTCCTCCTCTTCCACCTCTCCTCTTCCTCCACCTCCTCCTCTTTCTCCACCTCCTCCTCCACTTCCATCTCCTCCTCCAACCACGAGTCCTCTTCCACTCCCTCCCGCACTCCCACCACCTCCTCCTGCACTCCCACCTTCCCCCCCCTTGCCCACCTTCCCATCCAGGTTGGCGATGCTGCAGTTGCACTCGGTGGCTCCGTAGAACTCCCCGATCTGGGGGATGCGGAAGCGCGCGGCAAAGTCCTCCCAGATGTTGGGGCGCAGCCCGTTCCCCACGGCCAAGCGCACCCGGTGCCGCCCCTCGGCCTCGCGCGCCCGCTGCTTCAGGAGGTACCTGCAGATTTCCCCGATATACTGAATAATCTGAAGCAGCAAACACAAAAACACACCTCAGGCTTCAGGTCACCCTTCCAGCTCCTTGGACAAACCAACCACGAGGCCACCAGTGGCTGAGGACCTCATGGAACGAGACACATCCAGTATATGAACCAACTGGGAGGGGCTGTGGGTTCCAACTGGGATTTGCCACCAAAGTTAAACTAGAATCCAGTCAAAAAGGGCCCAGGAGGGATCCCCCATATCAGGTCACCCTTCCAACTCCTTGGACAAACCAACCATGAGGCCACCAGTGGCTGAGGACCTCATGGAACGAGACACATCCAGTATATGAACCAACTGGGAGGGGCTGTGGGGTCCAACTGGGATTTGCTACTAACGGTAAATTGGAACCCACTGGAAAAGGGCCCAGGGGGATCCTTCAGCTCAGGCTTCAGGTCACCCTTCCAACTCCTTGGACAAACCAACCATGAGGCCACCAGTGGCTGAGGACCTCATGGAACAAGACACATCAAGTATGGGAACCAACTGGGAGGGGCTGTGAGTTCAAACTGGGTTTGAGCCAAGGTTAAACTGGAACCCACTTGAAAAGGGCCCAGGGGGGTGACTCAGCGTTGGATAAAGAAAAAACCTTGTATTTAATAAGTGACCAAAGGACCTCTGGAAGATCAGAGGAACTTGTGGTGACTCCTGAACCAGCAGCTTGAAGCAGCAGTTGGAGCAAGATCCAATTCCCAGCTATAAATATTCCCACTGGGGGAAGGATCAACACCAGGGAGGGGAAGGAGCTACTGGAATTAGAAGGTGACACAAATAGTTGGATCTTGGCTCCAGAAGGTGATGTTGATCCAGACACAAATAGATGGATCTTGGCTCCAAGATCCCAGAGGATTCCTCTCTGGAGGCTCCTCCTGCAGTTCAATTCCAGCTGAACTTTCCCACCATTTGTGGTTTGGTGAGAAGAAGGAGAAGATGGAGGAGGGACCTTTCCTGAAGGGTCTCCCCATCCTGCAGTGGGACCTCAAAACCCAACCAGGGACAGGGAATTGGCTGGAGATGGAGGATGAAGGAGGAGCCAAGGGAAGGACCTGGAGCCCTCACCGTGCATCTGTACTTGGTGCAGTCATCCCAGAAGCGACTGGCTGAGAACTTCTTCCTGATGACCACAGTGAGCCCATGGATGAGACACTGGCCAACACCCATGATGTTCCCTGGAAAAGGAGGATCACGGGGTAGCTGCCACCATCCCAGAATTGTTTTGGTTGGAAAAGACCTTCAAGATCGTCCAACCCTAACCCAACCCCACCACCCAACTCTACCAAGTCTGGTGCTTAACTCATGTCCCTCAGCACCATCTCCAGGGCTTGGCAACCCCTCCAGGGATGGGGACTCCCCCCCTGCCCTGGGCAGCCTGGGCCAGGGCCTGACAACTCT